CCTCTGAAGCTGGCGCCTGGACCTGCCTTGAGGCTGGTGCCTGGGTCGCCTCTGAAACTGGTGCCTGGACCTGCCTTGAGGTTGGTTGCTGGACCTCCTCTGAAGCTGGTGCCTGGACCTGGATCTTCTCTGAAACTGGTGCCGGGACCTCTTTTGAGGCTGGTGCCTGGACCTCCTTGGAGGCTGGTGCCTGGACCTCCTCGAAGGCTGGTGCCTGGACCTCCTCGAAGGCTGGTGCCTGGACCTCCTCAAAGGCTGGTGCCTGGACCTCCTCTGAGGTTGGTGCCTGGACGTTCACATTGAAGGGTGGCGCCTCAACCTTTGCCACTGGCATTGGAGCTTCAACCTTTTCCTGTGACACGGGTACCTGGACCTGTTCATGGACATCTTCCTCTTCTGAGAGCATTTCCTCGACCCTGACCTCAGGACCACGGATGTTATCCTTCGAGGTTGGCGAGGTGTCTCCTCCGCCTGGCGGCGAGTGATTTGAGGCAATGGCCAAACCAAATGCTGCTGGTTGGTTGACCTGGTCTTCTGCTCGGCCCTGTGACGGACACTGCAGCCCCAATGAAGCCATCGCAGCCCTCTCATCATCTTCGGAGTTGTAGCGAAGTTTCTTTCTAGGTTCGATGGCTTCAAACATGGCGCCGGTGCGCTTTGTCTCCTCCTGGCCAAGAAGAAACTAATTGTTGCTTACTAAACCGACACACAAACAACCCATCCATAGAGTTGGATTCCTATGCTCTCTTGAATTTGGGACACCTTTGACAAAACCTGAAGATCAACTATAGACTCCGACTCTGCTTTGGCAGGTGGCGGCAGGCGCCTTCTCCATAGAAGCTCCACACAAGGCCGCTGGTGTCCCTGGTCCAGCCTCAGTCGAACACTGAGGAAACATGAGAGGATTAAAAATTCAGATCAAGCATTGCGCAATCAATGGATTGAGGAACAAACTCTTGGTGATGGAGTGAAATAATTGGATGGGCTCTCTTCCGTCAATCGATTGAAATCCTGAGCGGGGACATCAAATTTGGCCAAACCTAGACCCAAAAAAGAGTCAGTCAGAGTCAATTATTCAATGAATTCACCCAAGGACTTCACGAATCCCCCAAGGCACGGTCCTGGCCAAAGCCATGTGATGCCAACAGGCGCTGAAGAGGTGACGGCTCCGCCATGTGGATGTCAACCAGGACTGGGCGGGAGTTTGTCCCGCGGAGTGTCTGAACTTGGGCCGCTTCCTGCAAGTAGCGTTGCATCAAGGTTTGTGTGCGATCATCCTTTCAGGCTTCGTGATTCGTGGGTTTGGTTTTCTTACAAAGTATCGAGCTTTCAATTTCTCAACACGAGGACCCTTTTGGTTTGCAGGAAGGTCACAGCCCACGTCACACAGAGCTGTCACTGATTTTTCTCACTCGACTGGGCGCTGATCCGTAAATCTCGGATTCTACCTGGCCGCAAGGCAAGGTCAAGGAAGTTCGAGAATGAACTGCCATCCATAACAAATAGTCAAATTACTTGTCGTGTCAACCTTGCCTCCCATCTTGAGGAGTGAGTCAGCCATCAAGTGCATTGACTACCTGACACGTTTAAAGCCCTGGGCAAGTGGGAGCGACTGAGGGGAAAAGTGAAACAACCCTGCTCAAGTCAGTCACGCCTGAGGGTGGAAGGTAATTATGTAGGCAGGCCTTGATGTTGGAACCTGAAGTACTGGCTGCTTCATAAATTGTTTGTCTCGGTAGACAAAACACTTGATGGTAGGGTGTTTTGTGGCATCGACGCGCATTGAGTCTTGGACCGGAGCGGCCACTGCCAAACCACACCCTGCAGCCAGAACTCCTGGGCTCATTGGGGACAAGATGTTGAATTTCCGATGTTTCCCTATTGAAAACATGAACATTCTCCAGTCAGTGTATTGATTTGAGGCACACCCCACAGAGCAATCCTCCCCCGGACACCACGCACTTCGTGATGTCTCGCCACCCTGGAATCAGGGAGCTTCTCACGTACAAGCTTTAGGGGCTTTGCTGAAATCTTTGCTTCTCACGTGCATGTACAAACCGCTTTCTGTGGTTCCAAACTCTGCGCAAATTCAATCACAACCTGCTGCAGCTGCACCAAACATAGAAGCCAAGCACCTGCACGAGTACAAGGGGATCAGAAAAAGCTGATTGACATCACCTGAAAGCTTTTGGACTCTGGATTTGGAAGGTCATCTCGGTGTTTTGGTGGCCCAACAATGAGATCGATTTGAATAAGAACTCTACAGCAGCAGCAACAAAATGCAGCGTCGCTTGCCAAGAGATCAGTGGAGGGGTTGATATTTGCAGCGCTGAATAGACCCTCATTTTTCAGTAAAGAACTTTAAGACCTGACCTTTAGATGAAACTTGACTTATGGCCTTCCACTTCCATGCTTCAGTGCCAATCGACGTGTCGACGCATTGAGGTGATTAAATTGCGAAAGGATCGGCCCACCCAGTTTAAACACACCTCCATGGTTGTGGAGCTGAACATCGAAGCTGGGCCACCAAAACAAGCCTATCAGAGAGAGACTGAGCAAGTGTTTGCAAGGGACTGCTGGGTTGATTGACCAGCACTGGAACTAGTTGGAAACAAAGTCCCAGCCTTCATGTCATTGCGATACCAGGGAGGGGTTTCCCAACAAACAGCAGCGGAGAGCCAAACTGTTGAGTCGAGTCTAAAAACCTAATACTTGGCATACAGACCTGTCAAATGCAAATCAATGCCAGGATGGCTCTTCTTTTGGAGTTGAAGCTTGGCAAGCTTCTCGTTGGTGATGAATTTCGAGGCGCCGTGCGCAATGACGTAGTCAGTTGGTTCGATGGTGACTTTGCAATGCGCAACCTTGGCTCTTATATATCCAGTCAACCCCTCAATCACTGATTGATAGACTTCATCTTTGATCAGTCATCCTCCCCATGAAATGACGCCAAACCACAATGAATAACTTGAACTCCTGGTCATCAACCACTTGGGACAGAGATCCATCCCTACGCCTAGCCCGCACCAGCAGCAAGCTCGTGCCAGCCATACGGCCAGAAAATTTGGTTTCAACCACATACTGGTCCATGACCTGCTCAAGAGCAACAGGCTCTTCCCACGGAACAATCTTGACTGGAGGTGCTTTCTGTTCCTCCTGAGCTGCCACCACAAGCGCTTGGATCTCAGCTGCATTCTTTCTGCCGTACCTGAGAGAAAGGGTTTGAGCAAGACCATATTTACAATTAAGTCATTGTCATGCTTTTGTTTTGATTGCGACTGGTTCGACACATGATACGATGATACTGAAAATCCCAAACTGGCCCAACCACATGGTTTAGCCAGATTGCTGTGAATCAAAATCAGCCAACAGATTTGTCCACTCTGGTCCATATACAGGGTCTTCAATGTGACGGCTTCGGATGCATGGAGGGATGCTTAACTTCAGCCGATCCCAACCCTTTTTGGATGGGTCCACATCAAAATCCAACTTCACCACCTTCAGTGGATAGGCAGATGGATCCACTTCGCCTTGACCTGGAGGTGGCGGTGGGGGGTCCTTCTCGTAGGGCCTGACATTGGCAAATCGTGGTGATTTGCCAGCTTTCCACTCCTGGAATGACAAAACTTCAGATCAAATAAGTCGGAGTTCAGTGTCTTTAAGTTAGTTAACCGGTGATTGGTTTAAACTTGGCACGCCCGTGTCAAGACAGTGTTCAGCTGCCAGTCCTCCATCAAATCTAATGCTAGGACCTTCTCAACATACTGACTGATCTGCAGGTTCTTGGTGGTTGAAACCGTTCGGAAGGTCATCCCATCGAATCCTTTGTGGCAAGTCCGCTCCAACCATGCGTCGTACGGGGTCAAATTCATGATGCCCACAGTGCCCCCAGATGAAACTCCCGACTTCATCAGCACAGAGTTCAGCAAAATCCTGGGAAGTTGTTCCCCAGACAGAAGCTGTGCTGCTTCTTGAACTTCAGATAGGGACCTGCCAAATGGGTGGTTTTGCGGACCTGATGAACTCTAGGGGAGAATGACAGTACCGGCGTGAAACACTGCATGAAATCATGTTCCAACCTGGCTCCCTCCGAAGCATGGGGGAGGCTGTCCCGGTCGAATGGAACGATGTACGAAGCCTCCTGAGGCCATGAAAGTTCTCCCCTCGTCGCCCTGCAAGGCGGCGTCGGTGCTGGATTGGGTTCGGGATCGGGGCAAAACTTGGAGGTCTCACCAGGCAAGTGGTGGTACCAAACCTTTATGAGCTAACATCATTATATTATTATGTGATATCAAAACCTCGCCTGTCCAACATGATCTGGCAGCCATTGAACGTGTTTTGTTCTCGGTCTTTGTCTGACCTGTGGCGGCTGCTTGGTCATCTAGAATAAAGTTGTACCCATCACCAGGCAATCATGGCAATGTCCATTGAAACAACACTTTAGACTAGCGCAGAGCCACATCAAGATCCAGCCATCGAACTGGATAGGGACACGTCGCTTTGGAGGTGGAGGCCCACATCTCACAGCAATGCTCTGGCTGAAGAAGGATTTGGCGTCGAACTTGCTTTCCCAAGCCCTACAGGGAGCTAACATTTGACGCGGAATTGAACACATGGAACTAACTGCATTGAATCAACCAGAAAACCCAGTGTTGATCCGTCCTCAACTGCCCACGGTACCCTTGCTGCTTCTCCGACACAAGGTATGGAGCGATGACAACGGCGATGGAGGCCTTGTAGCGGGTGTGCAGCACATGGCTCAGAAGGGTGCTGAACTCATCCATCTCCGTAGCAGTCATCCGCCCACACTTCATGAGATCGACCCAAATAATGCAAGGCATGTCCGGAAAGCGCTGAAGAAACTGAAGGGTTCAATGGATTCTAAACCAAGCCCAACAAGGATGGGGAAGCGAGGCCTTTATCTTAATGGTGGGTTGAACACAAAGAGGTCAAACAACAAGTATTTGGTCAACTCACGTCCTTGGTCAGGACATTCATTTGATCCTTGATGACGCCGGAGTGGACAGCCAGGTTCTGGAGCATATAGTCGTTGACGATAGCTGCTCCAATGACATTTTGGGCACGGAGGTGAGCAAGTTTTTCCTGCCTTCGCCCACGTTCCCCCTTCTCAATCACTTTGTAGAGGCTCGCCACCTGTGCCAGGTCTCTGGCGAGGGCCAGGCAGTCCGCTTCGAACTGCGCTTTTCGCGCGTCCTGGTTGAGGACAGACACCTGGGCATCACACTGCGCCACCTGTTCCTTCACAGCATCCACTTCTTCAGGCTTGTGTTCCTTGAACATGGTAGTCTCTTCTGGGTTGAATTGAGGGTCAAGAACTTCAAGCGCGGTCTCGGCGTCACTCATGTAGTCCCTAAGTTGCAGGTTGAGAGGCCAAAGGGCGCGCATAAGAATCCATATGCGCGCCCTTTGTGGCCTATCAACCTTTGGTTGTTGATCTGGCAGTACAGTGTTTTGGACCCAAAGCAATGTCAATCCCTATGGTACATCAACTTATTATTGAAAAAACATATTCCCCAAATTTACCAAAACACTGACCAGTCTGTCAGGTGATTCAGTCAAGTGTCCCTTCAACACAGCGTTTGCAGATGGATGTAATCAGAGCATCATTGAACATTCTGTTTCCAGAGCTGTCAGTTTTCTCCCACATGTGCTTCAAGCAATGGCCAAGGAAGCAAAACTGATCCGCAAGGGTGTTCCAATCACTCAATGCCAGCCGTGGTATACTGGCACGTCCTCCCTGCTTGAGAGCGATCTCATGCAGCATGAGTACACGCTGGATAAAAATGTTTTGCTTTGCATCATCCATCGTGAGTATGCTTGACCAAAGGTGCATACTCTTGATGGAGGGGTCTCTGCTCGAACCACCCAACATCCAGCGCCCATCCAAGAGCAATTGGTTGCTGAAGGCTGCAGGGGGGCAATCTAAGAACATGTAGTATGTTTTGATCTTGGTGGTTGATATATCACTCACACATACGGTATCACATACGTATTGAATGTGAAGAAGAGAATTAAGTTGGAGTTCCAATGACACGAGGACAGGACCCATACCGAATCAAAAGGAGTGGGCACCAGATCGACCAGATTACAGCAACTACCTAGACATCATAAGGGCAAAGACAGGCTTGCCAGAACGTTTATTTCCCGAGAGGTGTGCCTGACTGCTCAAACTTGAAGGCATGCAAATGCATCTCCAGGAGCTCCCAGACTTCTGCATGGACACCAACCTGCCAAACGAGGCGCCGAGCCGGACAGCTGATGAAAAGGCATAATTGTATATTGTCGGAATGAAGAACGAAACATTTAAGCCTTCAGTCCGTAAAGCTGCAGAGCAGTAGTGGGATCTACCCGTAGTCTGGAGGAGTGAGCAGCCGCGCCATAGTTGTTATATTCATCAACTGCCATGAGGAATGCATCTTGGAAATTCAATCTGGGGTCCTGGTGGCTGATGTTCTGGTTGCATTAAATGGTAACTTGTTTGTTGCCCACCCAAGAAATACTCAACTTTTCGGGGTACCCACACACACGACAGGTGTCAAGTAAAACTGAAGTCCTCTGCTTGAAGTTCTTGACCCCTGCTCGAAAAAGCTAAACACCGCTGGAGGGCGTTCTTCTTTTGCCGTTCAGCTTGCTGATCATTGACTTGAAACCGCCTCCAAACACAATCAGACAACTTGGCCAGGCTGAACTTGCATTGAAGGAGCTTCACTGTTTTCAGCCACCTGGCAGGGACTCTAGGTGTATGCTGAGCATTGTGGGTCAGTGCGTGAGTGTTTGACGGGATCATAGCGTCATGTTGGGGGACCCCAAGTTTTCCAAATTTTAAGACGACGTTCCCACTGGGACCATCACGTTGGAGGGCTCCCAACAACTATAAGTGGGCGCCCCGCAATAACGAGGCACTTCCCCCAACATGACGCTCCCACCCAAACCATCACGTCAGTTTTGCAACTATATATGTTGCACACCCAACTATATACTATGCGAGCCCAACTGACCCCCTCCAACACGACGCTCCCACCGGGACCATCACGTTGGGCCCCCCGAGAATTTGAAGTCACGAACACGACCCTTTGATATATCACGGGTGGAAATTACACCTGCCCCAGACATGTGTGCCTCCCAAAATCAGCTTTCTCTTCAGGGCTCATTCGGTCACGAAGATGGGTGTAGGTGTGCATGATGGCCCACAAAACTACACTGAGCCGGCCATTGCCCTTCACAACGAGGACCTGCCCAAAGTCCATTGGCTGGCCATAGGGCATGGCAACCATGGACTTTACTTCCAGGGTTTCTCTCCAAGATTCGAACCCACAGAGCAGGACATCTTTCAGCACCCGAAGCCATGAGTGCAATATGGGAAGCCCATCCACAGGGAGCTGGTAGCGAAAAGCCATCAAGGGGATTGAGATCACTTCATCACAGCCCTCAACCTGACTTAGCGATAAGTTGTTCAGGGACTAAGTTCAAAGAAAGGACGACAATTCAATGATGCTAGCAATCTACATAAACCCAGGCACGGGGAAGTTCTGAGTTGTAGGATGTGGAAGCGTAGGCTCCATTTCAACTAACCACTGCTGAACGGGCTCATAGAGTCCAACATCATTGAAGGTGTTGATCAACGTTTTCACTGGGTGCTCGTCAGTGTGGAGATCGAAGCCAGGCCTCCACCGATATGATAGTACTAGTACTCACATCATTTAGAGAATCGCCAGTCAGCACAATTTGTGAGGCTGAGAACCGTTAAATGATCAGTGAAAAGAGTTTCGATGCCTTACATGATCAAGTACTCTGCATGCCCACGGGAAGGTTTCCTTCTGTGCTTTGCTTGGCTGGGCACTGGCGCCATCTTGCAAGGATCGCTTGGGCATGGCCCTGGGCCACGTCTAACCAAACAAACCTTGATCTCCGATACAGCACAGGATCAGTAAGCTTGAATGTTGTTTTATTGTTGTTTTCATGGTCTCTTTCTCTAGCAGTAGGCAGTAGGCTCTTGTTTTCCATTATTCGCAAGTTCATGAGCCAGTTGAATTGATTGTACGGTGCAGCATAGGATCAAAAAAACTACTTTACAACACAGTCAGCGCACCTCAAGCGCCAATGCTGAGATCAGAAGCATCAACCCTACACAAGGCACGGACATAGAGTTTCCTGCCATTTTGGCCTTGGTGCCGTTACTCAATTCACCAAGTTGGAGCGCAGGTGCGCCGCATAGGGCCGACTGGCGCTCGTTTGTTGGCAGGATCTGTGAAGCAAGGGCCTCATCTCCGGTCAAGAACCGCTCCTTGTCCTGGAGTGGGGGACAAGCGCTGACGTTTCATAAAATCTCATAATATCATATAGACTGGTCGGAGGAATCAAACCCCTGAGAATCAAATGGTTGATCGTTTGTGTTTTGGCTTTGGGACCTTGAAGGCCTTGAAGGTCAAACACATTGATTACAGTTAGCAGGGGACTCCTCATTGAAAATACTCGCGCTGTTGGTGGTCAGTGTTTGCAAGGTTCCATCTCGGAGCTCGCCCCGTCCCCGGCCATTTGCTGGGTATTGCTGGAGGTCAGGGCACTTCACCTTCAGCAACTTCCTGTAGTCATCAAGGACCTTCGCCTGAGCACAGACCCATCGATCTGTGGTGTCCAAAAAATAGTAAAAGGTCCCAGTTCAAAGCATAATGTTCTTTTGAAGCTCAATGCGAGTTCCAAGCAATTCAACTCATAGTAGTTTTGATTCAGCGCTCATTGCAGCCACTCTACATTGGCTGGACTCAAAACAGACTTTGGAAGATCCATCCACCAAAAGATTGATGCGCTAGCCACCACCCTCGAGGTCACTGACTCGATGACGGCGTCGAGATCCACATCGGGCCGCCAGGAGATTTTCGATGACCTCCAGCAAATGGCATATCGCCTGGAACGAGCTGCAGGGATGCCCAGAACACGAGGGTCAAGTACAACGCTCCGCACCAAAAAGTCAGGGGCCACTCGCGTCAATTCTCTCTCGATGAGAGACTGGGGGTATTCAGGAACATTCTCAATGAGAAGGGCGTCGTGTGTTCCAGCGATCTTCTCATAAAATGCTTTGTGACACTGGTAACTGGGAGCGGATGTCCCCTGTCGCTTTCCAGCTTTGCTGAAGCTGATGCAGATGGGGCCTCAACGCTTCAGTTCGAAAGGAAACATCCTCAACGTTACGTGGAACCAACTGACGCAGCAAGTGAGTTCCAAGGTCATGACCTCCTGCATTGATTCTCAATCCTCGGCGACCGGTTCGAGGTGGCTCGCTGGTTGCCACTGGAAATGCGAAGAACAGACAAACAGTTCAATTCACGACCATATGTGCAACCACATTTAAGCTGAGTTTCGTTTTGTCTTCTTTGCTTTCAAAATGGTCTTTTTCACTGTGCAGGGCTTTCCATGAGTTACGCAGTACTGAGTTTTGCAATGGGGATCAAAAGTCAAAATGTCCGGGAAACAACAGATCTTGTAAGTTCTCGCCAACACAGATTGGCAAGAGCCATCCACCTCACATGCAAACTGGCTGAGCACGTGTGGGTCTGAAGGGGTGGCTGGCTCGAAACCATTGTCCCGCAGGAAATCCGAGGCTGCGAGCTGAAGCGATGCCAAAGCCTCAGACACGCTGACACAGAGTCTTGGGGAGGCAACCTAGTGCCCTAGTGTCCAACATCAAAGCAAATTTGAGACAGTGACTGATTCAGGAGCACCAACCCCAGAAAATGCGCTGGAGAAACTCCACCGCCACTTCACCAAGTGTTGGCCAAGCCAGTCAGAACCGAATCTGGTAGCTATGCGAGACAAGAACACACTGGCCCAACTGTAAGCATCTTCCACACTTACAAAGCCAGCGGGGTGCTCTGACGTGCCAGCAAAAACTGTGCACTTTGGATATTTCTTCCTGACAAAATCCGATATGTGAGAATGGACAAACATGTTTTGCAAGAGTGAGCCAAAAGATTATCTGGGCCTGTTGGTGGATGCCTTGAGGTGGCCTTTCCTCACCCCGACTTTTGTCCTGCGACAGCAAGGCGCTGGGCCAAGGGATTCCAGGTTGAAAACGAAAAGAAACCAGCCGGTTAAACAGTATTCCTGGAAGTTGGATCGTTCACGGATGGAACAGGTGCAGGTACATCAGCTGGCTTTGGTCGCCAATTCCTGACTTAGTAGTCTATTATTGGTTTACAAAGTGCACCTCGCAAGTCGATGAAGATTACACTAGGTTAGGGCCATCACAATACCAGTTGCACGCACCTGCCAAGCACAATATGAATGAGTGATCTTTCGAAGATGGTGAGGCCTGCCTCTTCAAAGATCCGTAAATGCTGGAAATCCTGCAGCTTGCTTGTGTGCATACATGCAGTTGTTTGCAAACATTCAAGCTTGAGCGATGCTTGTGTTTTGAACCATCAGGTGGAACATGGTTGCCTACTGGGGCCTTCACTGCAGGAAGCTGACACACTGAGAGACCCACCTGCTGGGATCAGAAGCTTGCTGGTTTGAACGACTCATAGTCCATGAGGTAGGCCTGTGTATGCTGGATTTCACCGCTGGGCTTTGGGACTTCAATCACTAAGGAAATGAGACGTGTTCTTACTAAGTCACTCACTGAGGGCCATTGCATCCTTCCTGGGAGGTCATAGTTCCCGAAGTAGACCTGTGTATTCTGGAGCGCAAGCGTTCCGATGTTTTTTGAAAAAATGAGCAAACATGGTGCGGTCTGACATTGAAACATTGAGTGGCCCACTTCCGGAAACTAATTACAGATTGGGACTGAGAATGGTTGAAGCGGTGCAGGCTGTGGAGTCTGAACACTCCAGGTGACCCGCCTGGGGTCACACCCTCCTTCCTTGCGTGAGGTCATAGTCATCGATGTAGGCCTGGAAGTGTTGGAGTGAAGATAGTTGTCAGTTAGAAACATGAATGACAACCATCATTATGAAGGCTTTGACACCCTCAGTGGCCCATGTTCTGAGATCACATCCCTCTTGATTGGAAGCATTCAACATAGAGCAGTGGATATTAGACATTATTGGGGTTGTTTGGATTGAACAAGGGGTTTGCAGGGGCACTGCGGTGGATTCTCAACGCTCTCAGCAACCCACCTCTTCCAATCACATCCTTCTTCTTGCGATGTCATAGTACTCGATGTAGACCTGCAGGTGGTGGGTGTGACACTTAGATGTAGGAATTCAGGAACTCTCAGGGATCCACCTTCTTGGATCAGAAACGATTCTCTGCAAGGCCAAGGTTCTCGATGTGGTCCTGCCGACGTTGGGTTGTGTAAGCCATACTTTTTGGTGTTCTAGTCTATTCGGGAAATAACAAAATGCAGGATGGCCTTGTCTTTTCCTTGCCTTTGGCACTCCGTTTTGTCCTGTGTGGCGGACATGGATGCCCATTTGGTAACAAACCCTGAGCTTCCAAACTTAGTTGTGTGGTCCTCCCATCCGTCGCCGCGGCCACGGCACGGACAGCGGCCTTCAACTCTAAGCGCCCCATGCTTGCCTGCCTATGGCATTCACTGAGTCACAGCCAGCGCGTCTCAGGAAAAAAGTCCAAAAGTAAGCTGCTGAGAAGAGATGTGTGGCGCAATGAGGTTTCTGGCAAATGATCTGAGAAGCTACTCTGCTGCATAGAGTTTTCTCGCAAGAGATCTGTGGTTAGAAAGTGACATGGCCAGATTAAGGGCCCGAGCTTAGGACCACGAGCCTTTAAGAGATTCCAAAAGCCAAATGAACTGTTTCACAGTCCAAACTCCTCAACTAATTCAAACCCATTCTGAATTACTTCTCAGCTACACGCAGCTAATTGAAATCGGACTCCTGAACCCAATCAGAACACAAGAGCCAAGTCACATGGATATATAATTTGCATTGAATTGAAACTTCAACACTCGGCTTGCTTGCCTTGACACCCCGTGGACTGCCAAGCTCTTTGGATTGATCCTACCAAGGTATGAGCAACTAGACCCCGCTACTGCTTTAACAGGCGACCTGACACCCAATCAGTTCCAACCACCACTCCTTCATGTGTGAGGCGTCCTGGTTGACCTAGCTGATACCATCATGCACATCTCTGTGGGCTGAGTGGTGAAGCAAAGAATGACAAGCTGGCCTCTGGGCTGCAGGTTTCGCTTGAACTCCCATTCTGGCGACAGGGCCGTAAGAAACAAGCGAATCAATTGAAACACAAAATGCCTCGAGTCTCCAATACGATTCAACTTGGAGTTCCCAGGGCAAAACATCCTCGGATCTGTCCCAGAAACTAATCAGGACATCATGGTCAAAAACAGAGCCTGGCCTGTGAATCATCAATGACGATGACCTGGGAAGTATTCCACTCTGCAGAAATGAGAGATATGAAGAAACCTCGCCTTGCATTCCGGTTCAACATCAACCTGGGTGTCTGGGAAGGTGTCTTCCACGTGGTAGACTTGAGATTGGTAGTACTCAAAAGTGTCCTAGCCAGATGAAGATTAAAACAGTTAGTTATTCAAATGTTCAATACTGAGTGTTTGTTAGCTCCTCTACATTCTTCAGCTCATCAGTGGACCAAACCTGGCGCCAAGGAGGCTCATGGGCAGCATCTCTTCAGAACAGGGAGCACGACCCGTCCCACCTGAGCATTTAGACGCCTGGCTGGAAAGATTTGTCACGAGAAAAAGTGGGCCCAGGCAAACAACACAGCAGTTGGGGCCTCAAAGCAGTATGTGGGCGACGAGAAGGTTTCACATGGTTGAGGCGGACCAATTGAGGCATCCTACACTGGACCCAGCGGTCGAAACTACGTACCTGTTTGCAGGGTCTCATAAAAGGCTGCAGGTTCCTGATGTTGCGCAGTTTGGAATCCCTTGCTGACAGTTTGCGCGCACAGAACGATTGAAATCCAGACTATTCAGGTTTCATTTTCACCGCCCAAGTCTTGCTTGGAACACCATCGCTGGAGCAACCCTGAAAAGGGCTGGTGAATTGCTAATCCGAACAGTGTCTGGGGACCCTGCAGTGGTGTAAAATGGCAATGGACACAGTGAGCCCGGATTCTGGTTTTGAACCAAATCCATCAAAAACTCAACCGCGCGCCCGCTTGTATCCGAGGGGAATCGGTTCAAGAGCACCTTCGCCAACTGTATGTACTTCTGTGCTTTGGCCGCATCAGTTCTTCTGAGCGGCCTGGACTCAAGCGGGGCCTGGTTCAAGATTGGCACCATGAATTGGTAGGGCATGGCCAGTAAAGCCTCCTGAGGTTGCGACATGGCCACAAATACCCTGTACCCCCCCAAAAGTAGCCACTGAATTATTGTATCTTGGCATGTTGGGCCATGTTTTTGGAACTGAACTCAAAACCGAACCCCCCCTGACCTGGGCAAGACAATCATCAGAGGCCCTTCTTTTCACCATGATGATCACATCCAACTCATGAGCCTCCAAATCAAGGCCTGTCTGGTCGTCCACCTTGATGATCAGGTTCCGTGGCACGTCTGGCCAGGCAGGTTCACATTGAAGAGATAAAGACCCCAAAGTTTTCTCGTCGGGTGTATTATTTTGTTTCTGGAGATTGAATCAGGAAAATTCATGCTACTTTCTATTATGGCACCCATCCCCACACTCGCCTCGTCGGAGCATAAACAGAAATGCATGGTGCCCTGTTTCGTCGTCCTTGAGGCCGCCCCGGAAAGTGACTGGCAAATGCCCGTCCAGCCTGAGATCGCAAGTGGAAAAGGGTTTGCGCTGGGTGACCAGTCGGAGTGCCCTCAGAATCTAGAATCCAGGTCGGCACCAAGAAACCAATTCTTCCAAGGCCTGCAACTGCTGACCCACTGAACATTGATTGTAGCCTTCGGTCCAATCCACTGCTTGATGTTGATTCTTTCCAGGATGCTCTTAACTTTCCTTGATCGATGCGCAGTTCATGAGGGGCCGGTTGGTGTTAGGGTGAACCACTGACGATTACGACGCTCAATTCGGACAAGGTTCACAATCAAATCGTGTGGGTCGCACATCAAGTCTATATACTTGACACATTGCGCGAGGACGCCGTACAGTTGGTCTCAGTCTTTGTTGCTTTTAAGCAAGATTAAGCTGAGATATAGTGGTAGCCCTGTTCAGTAGTGAAATCACTATGAAAAGAAGAGTCAAGACCGCACAACACAAATTGGCTAATGATCAAGTCAAGAAACCCAATGAACCGTGACTGTGTCCGACACGTGGAAATAAAAGTCCACAAACCGTCATCTTTTGTTTCTGAAGTAGTGATGCCATAAGTTTGATGCTGGTCGAGTTCTTTGTCTCTCTGACAGTGTTGTCAGCCTGGGAGTTGCTGGTGCAATTTGACCGGTAAGCAAATTCACTGGCAGCTGGCAGCAACATCAATTCCTTATATACATGAACTTGCAACTTAGTGACCCAGATAAAGCACTCCTGTGGTAGAGTCTTTTGGTGTCGTTCGAAAATACCAACAGCGTCTTGGAGCGCAAGCATAAAGCATTCGGCCACGAGGCTTGAGTCGGCGGGCACATTTGGGTGGACGCAGTACAAGTTTAGACTTACTCCATGCAGCCAAACGCCATGGATTTTGACGCGGGGGCGGATTAAAGTTTGTGCTTCCTTGCTCGATTGCATCAGTCGGTTCCTGGGCAATGCCCACTTCGATTGATCCATTCCATCCTGCACTCAGTCAGTCTGTCCAATGTTGGTTTGTGAAGCAACATTTAGTTTGCTTCAAGAAAATCTAATGAATATCATGTTGCTGACAAGAGTCCCAGTGGATGCACAATGGAGCAGAATCATTCTCCAATGGACTTTGGGCCTGCCACTTGACAGACAAATATTGTTACTCATCTTTGCTCAGGGACCACCACTAAATGGAAAGCAAATTTTCTGCTGGTCTCTCGGCTGAGTTTGCCGGATCGAACTTGCCTGAAGGAATTCCTCCAGCTGCCTGTCGGCACGGATTTCATCAAGGTGCTGCTTGTACTCTCGTGCAACGTTGTACTTGCTTTGGCTGTCCTGGTCCAATCATGTCGGAAATCATGTGAACCCAAGCCCGACACAGTCCAAAAACTCCAATATCATGCAATAAACAAAATTCAGTCCAAGAAACGAATGCTCGCTTGAACCGGGTTTTGAAATCCAGGCACGTGTCGCACGTGGAGTGCGTTGTAGGTGCCAAGAACTTTAACACTGTCTTCCAAGTATTCTTGTACCGGCGCCAGAACGTCAAATACCTCGTTTCTGCTCAAGGGCCTGTGCAATATATGACATACGAACTCTTTCAAAATCTTAGTGCTTGCTTGAGGGACGAAATGCCAGGATTGGATTCTCGAAACTCCAGCCATAGCATTTTGATGGTGCCCGGAGGCAAGAATCGAGTGGGTAATCTATTCACCCGTTGTGAGAAATTGCACTCTATGTACCTTACGACTCAATGACCAAATATAATCTAATGACTGAAAAGGCATTCAGCAAATTGGTGAAAACCTATTCTGCCATCATGTTGAAGCTGAAAACTCAGAAACTGGCTTGCTGAACGCGGATTGAACACCCAATATATGAAGCCTAAGACTTTCGTCGTCTTCCAACCTCTCTCCATCAACCCGAAATTCATCTGATGGGTCGTCATCCTCATCCACGTCAGAACCTTTGCTCAGTGTCCGAATGACCGTGCGCAGGCGTTCCAAACATGTCTTATGGTGGCGACAAGTCACAGGCATCGGGCTCTGGTTCAGCATGGAAGACAACCTGCAAATCCTGCGCGTTCTTCCGCTGGTGGCCACCCCTGCGAAACCTCGGGCCATGCGTTGCATGTCAAATTACTTGATCTAGTGACTGCGTCAAGCAGGGCATTGAGGTTCAAGCTTATTCGGGAGCATGCCAGCGGCATTTTGATACAATTTCATAAGGTGCTGGTCCACCTTCATCCTCTTGATCGCATTGGCCTTTCGTGCCTAGGTCTTTGTCTTTATAGCCTGTAGGCCTCTTACAAGGTATTTGCACACAGAAACTCCAAAGCTCTTCCATCATGAAACATCAAGAGTAACAACATGTTGCAAATCAAGTGTCGAACCCAAACACTCCGAAGCGAAGATCTACACGCCCACTATAAGCAGAATGCAATCTGTTGTACCCAACCCCCAAGATCTTCGCTATGCACCGTGAGCCAACATGATTGCCCAGCAATACCCACTTCCGGTAGACATTGGAACCAGGCCGAGCTGCCACTCTGTGAATCTAAGTTTCAAAGCGGAAGCACACTGAGCAGAGTCGCCCAGTGCTTCGATAACTTGCAAGGAATTGAACACCAAACACTTTCTGCAGGAGTGTCAGCCAAAAAACAAACAACTGCTCAAAACCAGCTTGGACACATAGGCATCCTGTACCGTTTTACGGAGATTCCAAAACACTGAGAGAAATCTTGTCAAGCTAGCCTCCTTGAAGCCCTCGTAACATTTGCCAAAGCTGCATCGGCACTTTGCACGAACCAAGCTCCGAATCCTAGGAACGCTTTGGCCGTTCAAGTGGTGCCTTGGATACTCCGCAATGGGCTGGGGGCACCCCCCCAGGCCGGCAAGGAAATTAACATCGAACAAAGAACATTCTACTTCAACAAATTGAGATGCTTCTTCCTTTCCACTGGCTGAATAGCGAAAAATCGTCTCTTTCGGTTGTCATAATTTGGTCTTGCTGGAGCAGTCTTGGGGGCCAAATGATGCGAAGCATGTTCTACATGATCATCTTGGAACTGGAGCAGTCCTTCCAGTGAAAACTCACAAACAACTGTTTCTGGTCCCTGGTTCTGAGGGATCTCGGGAGCGTTGACCGCTTCTGATTGATCCTTGTGCCCCTTCAGGGCCAAAGATCTAAAGAAAGCTTTGCGTGCATCTGGAACAATCCCCTGATCTTGATCTCTGTTTCCACAATCATCTGATTGTCTGGTAGGACTCGAAGTAGCACGTGAATCACTGCAGGATTGAGGGACAATCGGTTGCCTTGAGGCAGGCGATGAGGCCCCACACTGCAATGATTTGAAAAACCTCAGGGATGGTAATGAATCTAAATGTGAATCTAAATGTGAAAAACCTCAACCCAACTCGCACATGAATCAAATTATAATGTGCATACTAAGTAGCTTCAATCTTTCCGGGTCTGGTCCGGTGGACGGCATCTTTGAGCCGTCGTGGCTACTCTGCTGAGCTGGTTGAATCTCAAATGACTACCCTGCTGAGCTGGTTGAATCTCAAATGATATGAAATTGACCTCGATTATAATGAAATAGCCTTTTATGTCTTTTTGAGAATCTGGAAACTCTAGGCGGACCCCTTCAAAGGGGGTTGTCAGTCCACGGGCACAATGGAATTGGTTCATGTTTGCCTTGTTTTTGGTTTGCAATGACATACTGAATATGAACTAGAAGATTTTCCTCCTTGCATTACAATTCACCAAGGACTGAACCACGTGCCTTTTTACGCTTTTCTCGTGGGACATCCAGAAGAACACTGGATTTCGGAAGGATGTCCTTTTTGAGATCCTTTTGTGTGCTTTGTAAAGATAATTGCCGGACCAGAAGGGACCTATAAACCACCTCTCACTTGAAGTCCTCCCTCAATTCTTTGGTCGAAGGTATCGTTCCAAGCAAGACCCGACACATTCCTCAGAAGCAGCAGAATCAGCAAGAACCGGTAGAACAAAAACGAGGTACACTTCATGCGCTTCATGTGCTTTGACGTTCCAGATGCTTTGTTTATTCTAGGTTTAAAGGTTTAAAGATTGAGCTTTTCTGGCCAGGCGGCCTGGGCTGTCTTTCTTTAAATTAAACTTATATGTCTTTTGGACAAACGGTGCACGTCCACCAAACCATCGACAAACCGCGCACGGTCAGTGGGATGAGCGTCGCCGCCCCTTGGGGATGCCAATGACAACCTCTGGGGCCCATTTCACCACCTGACCAAAAAGGGCAGCCGAAGAACACGGGCCACCGTGGCCTGGTGCCGGCGAGCTCGGCGAGTTCGCTGAACTGATCCCTTGGATTTCCTCATGGCTTTTCACCCCTTTCAAAACTCGTGAAGGATCCGGGAATGGCGAAAAATGATCCGAGGTCCGGGAATTGCTTGCCGCGCAGCGTGGGGCTCATCCAGGGCTTCTCCAGCTTGAGACCCGAAGAACAAAAGGCGGCCGAGAAGACTCGCGTTTTCCGCCGCGTCTTCAGCGTCTCTCTGCAGACGGAAAGACGGTTCCAGACTGTCAGACGCTCGTCGATCCACCGGCGGATCGACGGCAGGTCTTTGTGAAGATCATCCCCAAGGACGAGGAGGGTGGAGCCAGCGACTCGAAGTTGCCCCTCGGCGGCTTCGGCGAGCCGACGGTCACGGGGAGTGTGAGCGAAGGGGACGCGGGGAACGGAACGGGCGGGGAACGGGACGTGCTTCGACTCGTGTTTCGAGGTGACTTAGCAAGGAGAGGCCGGAATCATTTTTCAGAGCTAGTGGAAGTGCATAGAGCCAATTGCAGCCAAATGACTACACAACATCAACTACCGCACATACCAATAAACTGAAGGCGACCCTTTCTTTGTCTTGCTGCCCCCCATCGTCACTGGGACCTGTCCACCAGCAGAAAAGGGCTTCAGACACGAGATTTACAAAAGATACAAAGCAGAAAATCAACTTAAGACATAAAGAAGTCCCACGATTCATTTGTCGTGTCTTCTGTGGTTGACCCCCAGGCAGGACTGAAGGACATGTCACCCTCTACCAGGGGCCCCACAAACCATCGAAAACTTGTTTTTTAATGTGAACAATGAAAACCAATTTATTTTTCATCCTCGGATCAAGCGGTCTGGTAGGCCTCATGTGCAGTGCAGTTGGCCTGGGTGAAAAGAAAGCTAGTGGACAACATGAGAGACATGAAAGATCATGAAAGTATATATGTGATTTTTCGCATATATAGATATCATAGTTTTAGTGAAAGAAAGTACTGGTCAAGAAAAGCGTGGGAGACACATACATAACATTGGGCTACTGCTAAAAAGATCGGTATAACTTCAACATAGTATAACATTTAGATTAATAGTTTTTGGAGGTATAATGTCTTTTTGTGTATTACCGTTTGTGTTAGGAACCGATTTCCAAAACAAAGCATGAAGAGGCGGAAGTTGGTGTGAGGCATCTTGGTATTTTGTTTGGGGGAAATTCCTTGAGCCCACATGCGTCAATGCTGGAAGCCACGATGGGATTGCATTTTCCTCACAGTGCTTCATCGGATCCTTGAAGTATCTTGAAGTAGTAAGACTTACCCACAGTGCCGTTCCAGTCCGATCAATGCTATGCCCGAATCTTCGATTTTTTTATTGAGTTTTGGCGAACTTTCCCACACAAGATGGACACCTCCCATCTTCCGAGCACTGAGGGGCGCGCAGAGCAAGAAGCTCCATGAGATTCTGGACGCACTCCAGGAGCTCACCAACAAGGAGGGGTGGGGCTTGTCTTCGCTCGGCGTCAGCGGCGTTTCGTCTCCGGACTCCTGGTTTGCTCCACGTCTCAACAAACGGGGGCGATTTGTCCAACCTGCTGGATAATCCTGTCCACCTATTTAAAAACACGGCCCCCCCTTCCCTAATAAGGAAAACTCGGTCGCATTTTTTAAATAGGGGGTCCCTGAAATCGGGGGGGTCCAAAATAGGGTCACCTGGGAAGAGCTTCGAAACCAAAAAGTCACCCAAGAAAGTTGCATATAAAATCGTTTATTAAACTCGTATAAAAAATTCAAAGAACCTCCAGATCGAAGGGTATTCCTTTTCCCCTACTAAAATCATCTAAAATCCTATTAGAATAGTGATTCTTCATTAGACTAACAACTGAAGCTTTCGAAAGGTGATGTCGCTGTGCCGTGCGGTTTTGCGTGACCTCGGTGGCAAGTGCGTTTGCGTGAGTCCGTGCCATTGGGGGAAGGAACGCCTGCTGGTGTAAACGCAGCGTGTCATGGTGGATTGACAGGGCGGACAGAGGTGGGCAGTTACGGTTGATTTTGGAACCTAATTGAAAATACTCATCCAAATTCGGCAATGTTGGTAGTTTAGTAGTGTTTTGAAAGGGCGGAAATTTGAAACATAAGCCGTATTTAAGGGGATCCGACATGTTTTTTATTTGTGGTCCGGTTCGACATCACACTGAGACTGACTGAAGCTGCGAATCAATCCTGCTTGCGATCGCTGAGCCAAGAGAGGGCTTGACCACATGTTGAGCATGCTGCGCTGTGATTGGTTCTATGCATCTGTGCTTGTCTCAATATGTCTGATCTCATCCTCCTCATCCCCCCCACACAAGGGATCAAAAGAGCATAGTCATT